CCGTCTTTCTCCTCCTCCTCGTCGTCGTCCTCTTCCCTTCTCCTCTGATCGCCGGTGCTTGCTTGCTTCTGGGATGATGCTGTAATTAAGGCCACTCGGCAATCTCTGCCACGTATCGCCACGGAGTGCACGGATAACTCGAGAGATGTTGGGGTCGTTCCCTCTCTCACGCTCATCCTTCTCCTCCCAAACAGATCGTTAGTTGAAGGCTCCCCTGTCTCTGCCCCAGGGAGCCCGCGCCAGCGAAGCGGTGACTGGTTGCGATCGAACCCAAAAAACACGGAAGATCCATCCGCGCCCCACCCACAGTGCTCTGACAGAAAGTAAGCGCCTACGGCGGGCTCGCTGTGTAATGCGTAAAAGGGAGTTGGCTCCTGCGGCGGGCTTCTTCATACTTCGTGTCGAGCCTCGTAAGCTGCCAACGAGCCCCCGCCCCATGACTCTAATTCGCACGTGGAGGAGGGGGCGCTATAGCATTTGCTATGCAAGTAATTTCTGGCATAAGTTGCAACAAGAGTGTGAGTGGGAAGACGTGTTGCGGGATTGAGGTCTGACCGGTGTAGAATGAGGAGAAGGCGGAAATACAATTACTAGTGATCGTTCGGGTTATTACGATGGTGACAGTATGGATGATGATGATGATGATGATGCTGATGCTGCTGCTGATGATGAAGACGATGATACTGATGATGCTGATGTTGATGGTGGTGATGATGATGTTGATGCTGATGTTGATGCTGCTCCTGGTGATGATGACGATGGTGATTATGATTATGATGATGACGACGACGATGATGATGATGCTCATGATGATGATGATGCTGATGATGATGATGACGATGATGATGATGATGTTGATGCTGATGATGATGATGATGATGATGATGATGATGATGATGATGATGATGATGATGATGATGATGATACTGATGATGATGACTGCGATGTTGATGACTACGATGTTGATGACGATGGCGACGATCATGATGCTGATGATGGCGATGGTGATGATGATGCGGGGAGGAGGAGGCGGAGGAGGAGGAGGAGGATGAGGAGGATGGGGGGGCAGGAGGCGATGGAGGAGGTGGACGAGCGGAGGAGGGCGTAGGGACAGGAAAACTAATGACGAAGGGCAGGGACAATCGAATGAGGGGAATATGTGGGAGGAAGGAGGAGGACGGCGCTGATGATCATGTTCATGATGAGGAGTGGCAGGAGAGATGAGTAGGTGGAACATGGGTAGGAGGACAACTACGTCGACAACGACGACGTTGAGGGTGTGGTGGGGGACAATGAAACGGAGGAGGAGGGAAAGGAGGAGAAGGAGGTGTAGGAGGAGAACTTCCCCCTCGATCCCCGACCCTCGTTCCTCTCCCCCTTGACTCCCCTCCCGCACTCTCCTCAGGGGGGAGATTTTAGAGAGACAGGTCCAAAGCTGCCAACGAGACGCTGCGCGGCGAGGTTCAGGAGGAGTCCAGACTATTGCACGACGCTCGGCAGGAGCTTCAGAAGGGCAGCCATTCAATCGGGGCGGTCCAGCAGACCATCAAGGACCAGCGACCCTACTCCTACTTCCATCTTCCGCCTCCTCCTTCTCATCACCCCCCCGCTTCCTCGATCTACTTCCTCTGCCCGATCTTTGTCATTTGCGCAATCTCTCCGCTCATCCTGGTCTTCACCCTGGCCGCCGCGCCGCTCGGCTCCCGCCGAGGACATACTCGCGCGCGAGAAGGAGCTCGGTGGCAGGCTGGAGGGCTGGAAGGCACAGTGGAACAAGCTGCAGCCCGCGGTCGACGGCCTGAAGAAGGATTCGTGCCATTCCCCCTTCTGTCCTCGGACGAGAAGGGGACGAGGAAGAGGAGAGGGGAGGGGAGGGGAGGAGTGGGAGGAGAAATCTGGGAACTCGGAGAGGGATGGGGAGGGGGGACATAGGAGGGGGGGAGGGATAGAACACCAGGGGGAGAGAGAGAGAGAGAGAGAGACCACCAGAGCGGAAAGGGAGGAGGACGAGGGGCAGAAGGAGGAGGGGGAGGCGGAGGCGGCGGAGGAGCAGCATCACCCCCTCCTCTACTCGCCTTTGCTTTCTTGCCCCCGCCTACCTTCCCCCGATTACCTTTATCTTCTCTCCTCTCCTTGATGGTATCTCGTTTCCACTTGCCCATCCGATCCCCTCCCTGGGCACTTCCCATTCCTCGTGTTTCCCTCTCCGTTTCAACTCCATTCAGCTCCGTTGCTTCCACATCTCCTCCCCTGTCTCGCCTTCTCTTGCCATGTTCCGTCCTATTATCCATCTTCTCCCTCCGAACGTCCTCCTCACCCCAAGTTCACACTTCCTGTATCGCCCTTCTCCTCCCTGGCATTCCTTCATCCTCCGTCCCCCTCCCGTCCTTCCCTCTCCCCCCCCCTCCTCCCACCCCCCGGTTTCCCTGTCCCCTCCCCGTTGTTTCTTTCGCCCCACCCGCCCTACCCGCACGCTGTTGCTGCACCGCTTCTCTATCGTATTCTCCCCGGGCATACTCTCGCTTGCTTTCTCGCGACATGTCCCCCTCTTGCTTTCTCAGTTCCCCCCCCCCGTCACCCCAATGCGCTCTCTCTCTCTCTCTCTCTCCCTCTCCCTCTTCGGGCTGTCTTGGCCTCCCGTGGGGCAGCCTTGGGGGTCCCTTGGCCCTCGTGGGCCTTCTTGGGGCCCTGCTACCTGGTCTTACGACTCGCTTGCGCCGTCTTGGAGCCTTCTTGGCCGGATGTTGGCGGCCTGGGGGAAGTCGCGGGGCCGTCTTGGCGCCGTCTTGGGCCCGCGAAGGGCCTTTTCAGCCGTCGCGGTGTCCTTGCGGGCCATCTTTGGACTCTCTAGGGGGCCTCGTTGGCCGTCTTGGGGCTTTCGTGGAGGCTCCTTGGTCCGTCTTGAACTGGCGAAAACCCGAAGAGGAGAGGGTGCGAGAGTCCTTCAAACACCGAATCCATGAGGTTGGCTTCTTCGGACAATTTCAGAGGTCCTCTTCAAGCCCTTGCGGGTCCTTCGAGGCATTTTGGGCCATTTTGGTGTCCTTGTTTGCCTGCATGGGCCGTCTTGGGAGCTCGGGATGCGGACCCATAGTTTTTTTATCACGAGGGATCGTGGCCTCGGGAGCGCGGATCCAGGCTGTTCACGAGTCATCGTGGCCTCGGGAGGGGTGGTGGTGCATGCAGACCTGCGCGGGCAGAGGGGGGGGACCTCACTCGAATGTACAAGCCTTGCATTTCACCACGTCTCAAAGTGCCAGAAGGGGCACGGTGCCAGGTGTATGCAGTGGAGGCCCATGCCAAGACACATCCTGGTTGCCTCCAGGGTGCCCTGGGTTTCTTGGGTGTCGCTGGTTTTGCGACGGAAAGCGTGACGCTCCCACCCCCAAAAGCAATGGACGTCCAGGGGTCCGAAGGGTTGGGCTTCTTCTGGAAGGTTTCCTGTGGACTGGCCTCCGCTGTGTGTACACGCAGGCATGCCTCTGTGCGAGTACGGCTGCCGCTCCATCGCCGCCTCATCGCACCCACCTCCCCTGCGCTGCCCTGCCCTGCCCTGCCCCTGCAGGACGTGCTGTTCCTCAAGCACGCCTCCGAGGCCCACGACGCCTCCATCCACGGGCTCCAGCGGGGCAACCAGACCCTCCTGGAGAGCTTCGACAGCCTGCACGGTGCCCACTCGAAGATGTCCGTGGAGCGGCAGGGAAGCGGGAAGGGTGAGGAGAAGGAGGAGGGGTGCCAGGGTACTGACATGGATGCGGGGCGGAGCACAACGGAAAGGGCGGCAATCGTGGCACGTATGCGACAGAAAGAGAGAGAGAGAGAGAGAGAAAGAGAGAGAGAGAGAGAGATCGGGGGAAGGAGAAGCGAGACCACCACCACCACCAGTGGGACCCTTCCTGGCTCCTCCTGCTGCTGGTCCCTGGCGGTGGTGGCGTCTCCTTTCCTTGTCCCAAGATCGAGAGACAGAGAGAAAGAGAGAGAGAGAGAGAGAGAAAGGCAAAAAGAGAGGTGCAGATACGGACCGGATTCGCGCGTGCCCGCGTCGGCGCTCAGCAGGCTTGCGGCCGATGGTCCGAGCTTTTGGTTTGAAGGGTAAGCGCAGCGGCGGGGGGCGCGCAGGAGATGACGCCAGGGGGGGGCGCGCGCAGAAGACGACCCCCCGGCGCGGGGCCCGAGTCGACCACACGTAAGAGTGACCTTTTGCCGGAGTGATCTTTGATGCGGGCCCGTTGGGGTCCCCCGATCGCCGAGCTCGACCCGACAGTCGCGTCCTGCGCGCCCGTGTTTGGGCCCCCCCGCGGCGCCCAAAAGCCGCGCACCCAAGGTCACTCTTACCCAGGATCACTCCTGCGTGCAGCCGACCGAGGCGCACGACAGATCTAGCAGGGAGCGGGGCCATGAGCAGCGCAGGAGGGGTCCGCTTTGGGGGGGACCCGCGGAGGAGGCGCTGGGGGGGAGTCCAGCAGCGGCGAAGCGTCCTGGTTTGCATGCAGGCCTACCCCAAAAAATCTAAGAGGTTGTTGTGTTCTGCACGAAATGTTCGACTAGACGTAGGAGTGACCTTTCGCCGGAGTGACCTATGGTGCGGGCACAGATGGGCCCTCAGATGGCTGAGAAGGAAGCGGTAGCAGCTGCTTGCGCGCCCAGGTTTAGTCCCCCCGCGGCCCCCCAAAAGTCGCGCACCAAAGGTCACTCTTACCCATGGTCACTCTTGCAAATAGCCGAAATGTTTCTAGAACAGTTCTTTCTGAGACTGTCTTGTGTTGACACAGCGGGCTTCTGCTCTAGGAGCATAGCTTTTGTGATTCAGGAATGTATGGGTTTAGGAAAATGTCGTGGTAGGCCTATAGGAATGCCGGGACGGTCGGTCCCTGCTCAAGGGATGGCGGCACCTTGGCGGGGCGCCGGCTGGGGATGAAACGCCGCGGGGCACACGCTTGCTGGAGCGTGGGCAGTGGATGAGCCGGTGGATGCTTGCCTGGAGGTCGGCCTGCGGTTGCATCTCTCCGCGCAGGGGAGATTGAATTGAGCGTAGAGTGGAGGCCCATGCCAAGAAACACCCTGGTTGCCTCCAGGGTGCCCCGGGTTTCTTGAATTTCGATGATTTTACTATGGTTTTACGATGGCGAACCAATGGACGTTCTGGGTTCTCAGGGGTAGGTTTCTAGTGGAAGGTCTCTTGTGGACTGGCCTCCACTGTAGGCGAAGGCGACGCTGGCGGCCTCGACGTGGGCGGCCTCGTCGTCGTATTGTCGTCGCAGGTGTTGTTGGCGGTATGCGAAAGCCTGGGCTCTTGCATGGGCTCTGGCGTGGCTGGTGTCCCAGGGTGTAGCGCCGGCGGCAGTGACGGGGGGCCCCCAAGCAGGGTGGTGACCACACAGTGTGGTGAGTCGGTGGGGATTCGCGGTCACCGCAGAGTTTTGGGACTCAGGTCGTTCTTCGAGGACGTCTCGGGCGACTGGGGACTCCGAGGTCCCATTTCCGTGCGGTGACGGACCCTGCGGCGAGATCTTTGTGGATTTCGAGGTCACCGCCGGGTCTGTCACCACACGTCGCTGGGACCCCCAAGGTGACCGAGGCGGCGGTGGCGACGGGGCTGTGGTGTCGGAAGCCGAAAGGGTGGGATTCGTGGATGACCCACGGCACGACGCTGGCGGCGCCGCTACACCGCGTGGCTCTGGGGTCGGCGGCGGCAGGCGGGGCCAGAGATTCGTGTGGAGGCTGTAGCGGGAGTGGAGACGAGCAAGCTAACGGATAGGGCTGGTGTCGCTGTCCGGTGATGGGCCGGCCTTCGCGCAGGGGACGTCCGAGGAGCGTGCGGTCGCCTGGTCGCCAGTGCAGGCCGCAGCGTGGCCGTTGTCGTGGCCTGGCGCGTTGACAGCTTCTGCTGAGGGGCCGAATGCGACCGGGGGGAGGTAGCGGAACCCAGAAGGGCAGGTTCGTGGACGAGTCAAGGCACAATTCCAACGGTTCTTCCATGTATATAGATATATAGACAAAAGGGAGAGAGGGAGTTATACAAAAAGGGGAGAGATAACGAGAGAAGCAATTAGGGAGAGAGAGAGAGAGAGAGACAGAGACATAGAAACAAACAAAAACAACACAACAATCATTTACCTGCACCTCTATAGTTATATAGAGATGGATATGTATGTATACATACATAGCGGGAGAGAGAGAGAGAGAGTGAGAGGACACTAAGAGAGAGAGGGAGATGGCGAGGGAGTCAGAAGGAGGGGACGCGAGAGAGAGAGAGAGACATATCGATATATATATATATATATATATATATATATATTGAGAGAGAGAGGGAGGAGAGAGTCAGAGAGGGAGAGAAGAGAGAGAGAGAGAGAGAAAGATATTGGGGATGCGTGATGGGCAGCGGGGCGGGAGGGTGGGGGTGGAAGGGGGAGGTATGATGGGTAGCAAGGAAGAAGGGAGGGAATGGGAGGGGGGGGGGTGAAGGACAATGGTGGGGAGGGAGGGAGGGAAGGGAGGGAAGGGGGGGCGAGTCGAAGTGGAGGAGACGGGGGAGAGGGGGTTGGCTGGGGCGGAACGGGGGGAGAAGGGGGGGAGGGGGGGGGGGACCCCGCTGGCACTCCCCACGAAGCACTCCTCGTCCCTCTCCTTCCTCGCTTCTCCCCAGATCCTCCTCCTCGGCTCTTCCCCTCGGGCACGGGGCAGGAGCTGGACAGCGCACACCGTGCCCTGAAGCAGACCAACCAGGCCGTGGCCGAGGCCCAGGACCACGGGCATCGGCGGTCGGACATCCCCCTCCCCCCCGCTCTCCCCACTCCCCCCCCCCTCCTGCCCATGCCCGTTTTCTCCCTCCAGTTCTCCCTCTCCCCCTCCCCCTCGCCCCGCCCCATTCTCCCCCTTACTTGCCCCCGCCTCGCTTCCTTCGCCTAACCTTGTTTCCCCGTCCTCCCCGTCCTCTCCTCCACCTTTCCTTTTTCCCTGCCCCCCTTTTTTCATTATCTGCCCCATGCGCCCATATCCCTGAGGGGCCTCTTGGGCCAGTCTTGGCCCGCCTTGGCGCCCTCTTTGGCCCGGCGCGTTCTGATGGAAAGACCCCCCATGATAATCGATGTGGCTTGACTGAGGATCTCCTCTTGCCCCGTCCTACACCGTCCTGCCTCCTCCTTCTTGGGATGCAACTCCTGGGAGGTCAAATTCTGATTTCGCACTGGTCCGAAGTCCGGTTGAATCTGGCTTAATCCCGCCTAGTCTCGCTTAATCCCGCAATCCGGCCTAATCCCGCTTAGTCCGAGGCCTTCTCCAGCGTAGTAGCTCCCAAATGGGGCTTAATCCTCCTTCACTTTCCCGACGAAAACCTCTCAGTAGGTGCTTCCTAATCTTGCTCTTCTTGCCTCATCTTCCCGCCTCCGCCTCTCTCTGCCTCCTTCTTCCCCTCCCCATGCCTTCTCCTGCCTCCCGCCTGCTCCTGCCTGCTGCTGCTGCTCCTCCTCCTCTTAGTCCATTTTGCAGTCCCTCTTCGTCCTCGTCGTCGTCGTCCTTCTCCTCCTCCTCCTCCTCCTTCTCCTCCTCCTCCTCCTCCTCCTCCTCCTCCTCCTGCTTCTCCTCCTTCTCCCACTCTTGCCTCCTCCTCATGCTTCCTCCTTATCAACCTCCTCAGCCTCTTTCCTCCTCCTCCTCCTCCTCCTCCTCCTCTTCTTCCTCCTCCTCCTCCTCCTCCTCCTCCTCCTCCTCCTCCTCCTCCTCTGGGCTCCTCTTCCTCGTTGGGCCTCTGGCCTCCTCCTTGGGTTTCCTGGAGCTTCCCTGGGCGTCCTGGAGCCTCCTGGGGCCTCCGGGCACTCCTGGGGCACTCTTCCTTCTCTTGTTCAGCCATCTCCTCCTCCTCCTCATCCTGCTTCTTCCTCCGCGTATTCATCCTCCTTCTCGTCCTGCCTCTTCCTCTTCCTCCTCCTGCCTCCTCCTCTTCCTCCTGCTCCTCGTCCTGCTCTTCCTCCTGCCTCCTCATCCTGATTCTCCTCCTCCTGCTCTTCCGTAGCCATTTTGGCTCAAAATGTTTGGGGCGAGTAGGATACTGCAGCATCCGTCAACTTACACCCCTGTCAGGGACTCGGTGGGCCGCGCTGCCAGCGCAGTGATCGGCACTCTCGCCAGAGCCGCTGCTGCCCCACGACGGCGAGTCCATGCTTGATGGTCCCGAGGCGAAGCCGAAGCGCAGTGGAAGGCAGCCCTGGAAGACAGCTCTGCGCGGTCTAGTGGGCATGCTGTTCGTGCTGGAAACCCTGGCGTTGCTGGTTCACGACAGCGCAGTGCCGACGGCAGCTCCGAGTCCGACGACGAGCTCGACGACGACGACCTCCATAAGCACATCCGTGCCCTCTGCGCGGCCGAAGTCCTGGAGCAGTTCGAGGACCAGCGCGACCAGATCCAGGCCTCCATCTCTTCTGTGGCAGGCGACGCCGTCAAGGCAGGCGTCGATCCTCCGGGCGCCGCCCTGGACGCTCCACAGCTCGCGGTCGAGAATGCTCCGCAGGCCGCCGTGGCATCTGAGGGGGAGGGTGGGGTTCATTTCGTTCGGGAGCTCCCGAGCCAAGTGAGCCCCACCCTGCCCCTCAGAGATCGTGGAGGGTCGGGGCGGGGTTCGCATGTGGCCCGTCTGCTGCTCTCGAGCCTGACGTGGACGCTGCGGGAAGGAGGTGCCGAGCGCAGCTCGGCGGCATCCCGCTGCGCGCATCGCGGCCAGTGGAGGCCACCGCTGGCGAGAACGCGACGGAATTCTGGAGACCCTCGCCCAGGAGGTCGAGGAGGAGGAGGAGGGGGAGGGGGGAGGAGGGGGGAGGGGGAGGGGGAGGGGGAGGAGGAGGAGGCGGAGAGGAGGAGGAGGAGGAGGGGGGGAGGAGGAGGAGGGGGAGGAGAGGAGGAGCAGGAGGAGGAGGAGGGAGCTGCAGGCCGCTCCCGCCCTGGCGGACCAGACCCCTCGACCTCATCGGCCTCCAGATTGGGCCTTCAAGAGGAACGTCGACTCCACTCAGTATCGTTCAACCGACCCCCATCCCCATCCTCATCCTCTTCGAGACCCCCACCGAAGTAACACCCCAGTTGGTGTATCCACGCGCTTCTCAAGGACAGCGCTGTCTGTCACGATCCGAGAGGCGCACCAGACGGAGACCGACGCGACCGCCTTGTTCAGGGAAGTAAGCCACACGCACGCGGCCTTCGGCTCGTTTGGTTCGGCTTCCGCCAGCGGCGTGCTCGCGGCGCTCCTCCTCGCACAGCGCGCGCCGGGCCGCGCCTCGGCCGTTCCGCAGGCACCCGGGCCAAGGCCGAGCTGCCCGAGACCAAGTTGCGCCATCGCAACATGCAAAGCCACGACCTCTCCCTCGCCCAAGTCATCTCGGTAACGGACCCCATTGCTGCCGACGTCGCCTGGTCCCGCGAGGTCCCTCTACGGCGCCTGCTGGTTAGCAGCGGGGACTTCAATTTCGCGCCGTTCGACTTCTTGCTACTGGCTGCTCCCTCGCCATAGGTGCATCCCGCCCAGATGCCAGGCGCTCTCGCAGGAACAAGTGGCGCCGGGTGCTCGACGAGCTCGCAGAGATGGCCATCCCGGATCTGACCCGCTACCACAAGGAGACAGCCGCCATCGCGATTTTGGACCGCTGCTGGACTTCTTTGCCTGGCTGGTCGCTCTGCCAGCTCTCGACATCGATGGATGCGCGCGGCGCCCCTTGTGAGCTCTCAGGCTCGGGCGGCAGAGACCGCGCCGCGATGGCCATCTCGCTCAAGAGCAACCTCGCGCTGCTCGCACCTTCCCGAAGCACATCTACAAGCGCGGGGACTCCGCGGCGCCTTCAGTGCCTGACCGACTTGGGGTACCACGACCTCCACGCCATGACACCGCCGCTACGTCTCGACCGCATGAAGGCACTGATGAAGGAAGCCGCCGCGGAGCCGTTCAAGTTCTTTATCACCTCCGACGCGAGCTCGCAACAGCGTCAACTTGCTCTTGCTCGGCAGGCAGCTCGTGCTCTCTGGCGCAACGACTGCTGGCTTGCGACCAAACTTCTTGTTGCTTCTGAACCTCTGAGCGTTTACCTATGGGGGGCGGATTTGGCGAGGCAGGACACCGATCCATCGGCCTTCGAGCCTGGATTTCGTGTGCTCAAGTTGCTGCTGCAGCTGGACGCGCTCGCGCCCTTCGCTCTCGGTTGGCCGCTCCTCCTCGGCTTTGCCGGGCTGCCGCGGGCCAGCTGCAGGCAGCGGGGCGCCGCGCGCGCTCGCGGGCCCCTTGCGGCAAGAAGAACCACCTCACAAGCATCGCAGATGGCGCCCGCGCCCGCGCCGCGGGCGAGCGGGAGGTCGCCGCGGCCACGGCTCGCAGGGGCGCCGTTTTCTCGCGGGCGGACGTCGGCGCGATTGCGGCGCGCGCCTGCACTGGCGACCAGCTTGGCTCCACCGCGCCGGTTCGGGCTTCTCCGCCATCGCGCTCTACCTTGGGCTCGGCTCCTCACCGTCTCCCATCTTCGTCTCCTGGCATGGCGCGCGCTGCCCGACTGCCTCGGCCAGCGACCCCTCCGCGCAGAGCCCGGCACCGAGCGGGCCTTCTCCCCGAAGGGCGCCCAGGACGACGACGAGCACGACGGCGCCCTCCGCGCTGCTTCCGACCTCCTCGTTCTCGGCCCCCGCAACGCGTCGGTCGAACTCATCGGCGCCACCCTCGACGCCGCCGCCTCGCCCATCGCGCCGCGCGCTGCCCCTGCTTCTCAGGGGGGCTTCATCGCCAAGCGCAAATTCCGCCGAGCACGTCATCGAGGTGGATGCTCTGGCCCGCGCCGCGGGTCTGGCTCTTGCGGCCAATCAGGAACCGCCGCTGCTTGCAGCCTTCGACGTCGGCCAGGCGCCCCCGTACTTTTCGCGGGAATACGTGATGGAGGTCATGTTGGCTCTGTGCTTCTCTGCTGGCTTCCCCCAGACGGCGGGGGTGCCCCTGCGCCCTCGTCGCGGCCGTCTCGACCTCGGGGCATCTGGCGACCGCGACGTTCCGCATCGCGCGTGGCATCATCCAGGGCTGCGCGCTGACAGGCGCGATCTTCGCTCTCTCCTAGTCTCCGACGCTCATCCAAATCCACGCCGCGCTGGATGTCTTTGGCCTCGCTGTTTTGCGCGCTTGTGCCGACGGCAATGGCGGCGCGCTCATTTCCATCCATGCCCTCCCCGAGCTGTTCGTGATCATGGGGGCCGCTGCCAGGTGCGCCACGCTGTACCTCGAGCCTGCCAAGTGCTTCCTGGCCACGCTTTTCGCTTCCTTTCCGCGAAGGGCCAGCTCCGCACCCAGAACCTCCTGCCCTTGCGCGCCCCGCTGTGGGCCTGCTGCCAGATGGCCGACAAGTTGATGCACCTGGGATGCGGGTTAGGGCCCGCGGCCACGCGTCTCGACTACGTTCAGGCGCCCTGGCAGAATTATTGGCAGCGCCTCCCGTCGCTCCCGATGACATCGGCGCCGCCGTCCATCAGCGCGCATCTACGCCGCGCGGGTCGACTCCACGCTGTCGCACGTCGGCCAGTTCTTCGTCGCTCCTGCTGAGAGTTCGGCAAGCGCGAGCTACGTGGTCTTGAGATGTTCACTCCGCGCCCCGGCGGTGCCCTCGACGCTTGGACTACGCCACTTGGCACGAACGACGCGTCCCCAAGTTTGCGTCGGCTTCCGCTGGGGAACGGGCGATCTTGCTCCGATCGGCGACGCGCGCACGCGCCGTTTTCTACGAACACCTGCGCGCGCGCAAGGAGGCTGGGCGACGTTGGGTGGATTGCCGCCCTCTTGCTGGGCTGGCTGTCGGCTTGTCGCCTGGCTTCTGGGCGTCGCCCAACATCGCGGAGACGCTAGACTTGGCCGCTTGTGGTCGTGTTCCTGCTCCTCACCATGCGTGCTCGGCGCCGGAGGACCAGGAGGCCGCAGGAGGCGCAGGGTGGCTGCAGGGTGCCACAGGAGGCCCCAGGAGACCGCAATAGGAGGCAGGATGCTCAAGGAGGAAGCAGAAGGAGGCTTGAGGGGGAGGAGGCAGGATGAGGAGGTGGTGGGAGAGGAGGCGGGAGTAGGAAGATGAGAAGAGGGAGGAGGACGAAGAGGAGGAGGAGGCAGCAGCCCAAGGAGATGAAGCAGAGGGCACGAGGCAGGAGAAGGAGGAGGTGGACGAGGAGGAGGAGTTGGAGGCATGGGAAGGAGGAGGAGGAGGAGGAGGAGGAGGAGGAGGCAGGAGTGGGTAGGAGGAGGGAGCAGGGGGGGATCTCCAGCCAAGCTAAACATATTCTCATGCGGGGTCCTACCGTCGGAGTAATTCTACGGTTTGCCGATGGCCGCCTCGGATGAGGAACATGAGGTGCGGGCCCTATACGGCGGGGGTCCCGCTCGAGACGTCTTCGCAATCTACTCATAGAGCAGGCTCCCGCTCGAGACTTCCTCGCGATTCACACTGACAGGTGTCACCAAACTTGTGTGTTTTACATGGTTTGTCGACGGCCGCCTCTGATTAGTATCATGAGGCGCGGGCCCCATAGGGAGGGGGCTCGCGCTCGAGGTGTCTTTGCAATCCGCCCACAGACGAGGCTCCCGCTCGAGATGTCCTCGGGATTCGGGCTCCCAGCTGTCACCAAACCTGTGTTTTACAGGGTTTGCCGATGACCGCCTCGGCATCAAACCTGTTTCTACAGGGTTTGCCGGTGCCCGCCTCGTGTGCATAACATGAGGTGCGGGGTGGATGGGGCTCTCGCTCTAGACTTCCCTGCGATTCGCTCACAGAGGCGAGTGATGATGATGATGATGATGATGATGATGATGATGGTGATGATGATGGTGATGGTGATGATGATGATGACGATGACGATGATGATGATGATGATGATGATGATGATGATGATGATGATGATGATGATGATGATGATGCTGCTGATGATGATGCTGGTGATGCTGATGATGAAGATTATATAGGCTTACGCCACATCCGCCGACCCCTATATAAACTGCTGCGCCTCCAGGACTGCATTTCACGAGGGTTGTCCGAATCATGGCACGACGCTCGACATCGTTCCTGTTGCTTCGTTGTGCTATCGTACCTCTTGGTGCTCTTTTGTGGCCTTTTGGTGACATCTTGGCCTGTCTGCAGGCCATCTCCAGCCGCCTCGAGGCATCTTGGGCCAAGTTTTGGGGCCTCTTGGGGGTTTCCTGGGGGCTTCTTGGAGGCCTTTTAGGTTCTCTTGGGGGTCCCTCAGGGCCTCTTGGGGTGTTCTTGGGGCATGCTGGGGGCGTCTTGGGGCCGAAGGCTCGAAAAGGTGCCCTGTGGACTCCCTCTTGGAGCCGTCTAGGGGCCCTCTTGGGATGTCTTGGGGGCCTCGTGGGCTGTTTTTGCACCCTTTTCGACCCCTCTTGGGGGCCCCTTCTGTCGTCCAGGGGCGATATGGAAGGTTTCTTTTTGCCCGTCTTGGACGATGTGCAAGCCGAAAAGGCGAGTATGCGAAACATGCTTGTTGTTCAAAGGGAATGGGGCGATTTTTGCTTCTTGGGACCCTCTTGGGACGCCTGGAGGCCATCGTGGGCGTCAAGGAGCGATATTTCGGCGACTCGTGGCCCTCTGGGACCGTCTGGAGAGCGTTTCGGTACCTCTTGGCCCGTTTTGGAGCCCTCCGCTCCCCCATGGCGCGTTCGGTCCGGGGTCGCGCCGGGCCATGGGGGGGATTCAAATTGCCAGTTTTGGGTCCCTGGGGGGATGAGGGGGGGAATATTTCACACGCCTAGAAACCCACAATGGGTCGGCGGATTATGATGTTGCGAGTGATGATGATGATGATGATGATGATGATGATGATGATGATGATGATGATGAGGCTCGTGGCTAAGATGATGATGGTGGGTGAGTGATTGAGTGAGTGAGTGATCTTGTGTGGTGAAGGTGTGAGTGTTAATGATGATGGTGGTACTGAGGAAGATGAAGAAAATGTTGTTGACGATGGTGCCGGTGGTGATGATGATGATGATGACGATGTTGATGATGTTGATGATGATATGAGCGATGATGGTGCGACTGATGATGTTGGAAACTATGATGATGCTGCTGATGATGATGATGATGATGATGATGATGATGATGGTGATGGTGATGGTGATGATGATGAGGAGGAGGACAGTGCTGATGGTTAGTGTGAGAGTGACTGAGTGAGTGATCGCCTGTGATGAGTGTGTGGCTGTTGATGGCGATGATAACGGTGGTGGTGGGGAAGAGGGGGGGTGAGGAGAAGTTCTGCACGGGGTGTGAGTACAGAGAGAATGATAATGATGATGTTGTTGATGCTGCTGTTGATGATGATGATAATTGGTGATGGTGACTCGCGATGATGATGATGACGATGATGACAATGATGATGATAATGATGATGATGATGATGATGTTGATGACGACGATGCTGATGATGCTGCGCATGATGTTGATGGTAATGATGATGACGATGATGCTGGTGATGATGATGATGAAGGTGATGGTGATGAAGATGATGATGATGGTGCTGATGCTGCTGGTGCCACTGCTGCTGCTGTTTGCGATGGTGATGATGATGTTGATGATGATGATGATGACGATGATGATGATTATGATGATGATGATGAAACTGATGATGATGATGAAACCGATGATTATGATGATGATGATGGTGATGATGATGCTGGTGATGATGATGATGCTGATGATGATGCTGCTGATGATGATGATGATGATGATGATGATGATGATGATGATGATGATGCGGGAGTGTTATTGTGCCTGCGCGGACTGTCTAGAGAAAACAAGAGCCCCACTTAGCATGCGGGGAACGACGCATGCGAGAAGATGACCTGTTCAGCCCAGGGGGCACGCGGCAGGCCCCGACATACTTGAGATTTGAGAAGTTGGGGTCCGGGCCCCATAACATTCCGGATTGGGTAAAGGACCTGAGGAGACGCCAACTCCGTGCCCAGAGACAAGGTGGCGGATTATTAGTCGTATCGCCATATAGTGCGGTCGCATCGTGCCGCAATGGGCGCGGTGCTGCCATGCAGGCTCTCTTATCTGGGCCTAACAATGGAGGAAGGAAACACGTCGGGGTGCGACGAATTCGGCACGGCGCCGCTGTGCGGGCGCCCTCACTTGGGTCCCAGATGGAGCTCTCAATAGGGCCAGGAACCGTGTGAGGGGTGCGCCGAAATTCGCATGCAGATGGGCCTGTTGAGATCGCCTCAGGTAGATTGCTGCAGCCTCCCGCCCCCAAGCGGACGGACGAGCTGGAGGAGCAGCAGCAGCAGAAGATGGGGATGCCCACCAAGACGTGGGGGCGGAGGAGAAGGAGGCGAACGAGGGGCGGTCGAAGAGCCGGTAGAGGACGTTGACGCAGAGAAGGAGGAGGAGGAGGCGAGCGGGCAGGGTGAGGCGGAGGAGCAGGCGGCGGAGGAGAAGGACGAGGGGGATGGGAAGCTGCAGAAGGAGGCGGAGGATGCGGACCGAGGAGGGTTAGGGGCGCAGGCAGGTGGCGAGCCTGCTTTCGGGACGCCGCCGGCCCCCGGGCGCGACGGGCAAGGACAACATCGGCCACAACACCAGCTTCGCCAATGGCCTCCACTCCAGGCCCCCCTCGTCCGAGGATGAGGGGCAGCGAGGCGAGGAGACGGGAGGAAGGGAGGGAAGGTGGGGGAGGGGGGGGGGAGGGATAGGGAGGGATGATAGGGAGCGGAGGCGTGGTGAGGAGAGGTGGGATGGCAGGGAAGGGTGTAAGGGAGAGGGGTCGGTTGTGTGGGAGCCGGATTGGGGGAGGGAGGGCGGGGGAGGAGAGTGGGGCGAAGGCGAGGGATAAGCTGTGCTTGGGGAGGACAGGATGAGCTGGGAACCGGGGAGCCTGGAAGGGGGGCCGGGAATGTAGAAACGGCGAGCATGATGGGGAGAGGGGCAAGGGGAGATGAAGTGGAGGAGAGGAGGGAAGAGTAAGCAGGGGGAGGAGGACAGGCAGAAGGGAGCAGGAGGAGCAGTGGAGCGGATGCTATGTGGATGGGGAAGAGGGGGAGACAGAGGAGGGAGAGATGCACCGCTACCCGTCTTCTCCCCTCCCCCTTCCCCGCCCCTTCTTCTTCCTCCTTGCTCCTCCCCCCTGTCCTGGCCGCTTGTGCATCGTCGTCCCCCCCCAGGCACCTTCCTCCCCCCCCCTTCTGCCTCCCCCATCCCGCCTCCCACTCCTGCCTCCCCCTCCATCCCCCTCCGCATGCAGGAGAGGAGGCGGAGGCGGAGGAGGAAGGCCGAGGCGGGGGAGGAGGGGTACGTCGCCGCCCTCCCTCACCAGGCTCGACCAGTCGGCCGCCGAGCTCAGCAACACGCTGCTGCAGCTGCGGGGGCTCGAGGGGAAGCACCAGGCCGGGACAGCCTTCGGGTGGGTGGGGATTTCGAGGTCACCACGCGGCTCGTTCACCGATCGCAGCCATGACCTTATCGATCATGTGCATGGCCGGCACACGGCGCTTTCTGCTTATTATGTTTCTCTTTAGCATTAAGATTATTATCATTATGATTTGCTTTATATTCTTATACATCGCATTAGTAGTAGCATTCGTATTGTTAGTATCAGTGCAGGCATTCGTACTCGTATTCGTGTTCGCATTCGTGTTCGCATTCGCATTCGTAATATCTATCAATATCATCATCATTATCATTATATCCGTTTCGTTACTAGTAGTAGTCGTATTATTGTTACAACTCCAACTTAAACAATCTACGTATTGGTAGTAGTATTCGTATTACTAGTGCTATTCGTTGTATCATCATTCGTCGCATGATTCCGCTTAGTAAGACTATTATCCTTAGCTTGGAACGCGTGGCTTGCAAGCGCGTGCTCGCGAAGCTGGTCGTGGCGTCGAGGGTGTTGCGCTCGCCCGAGCCCGCGTGGCGCGGCAGGATCGTGCCGCGGTCGCGGCGCGCCGGTGCGGCCAGCGGCGTCGCGGCGCGACGCCGCATGGCGAGAGGCAGCGCCACTTGGTGACGCTGGCCTCTCCTCCTCCGCCTCCTTCTCCGTCCTCCGTCCCCTCCTCCGCCCTCCTCCCCCACCAACTGAAGGAATCCGTCACCCTTCCCACCCCCACAAGGCAGATCTATGTCTCATCAGAATCTGAGGTGGCAGACTAGTATTAGCCTTCTCTCAGGGCTGGGTCGAAAACCCAGCTCGGAGGTGGTAATCTGACTTCGCTTCGCGATCGGTCCTATCCTATCTGGTCCCCCCTCCTATTCCCTCCATCCATCCAGGAAGGAGCGAGCATCCGTAGCCTTGAGCGACTTTCCCATGGGTGCCCTTGCATCCTCCCCCTTTCGGCCCACCCTTGGCCGCTTCCGCTGGCCACGCCCCGCTCGCAGAGTGTCGGCATGGCCTTCCAACGCCCTTGCATCCCATCCTTATCGCGCACCCTTACTATACGGGTTGACTGTAGCCTCGGGACCTCATCCTCGGTCGCGTTCGCATCCTCCCCAGAAGGACCCCCTCTCTCTCTGCGTCTTCCTTCTGGGATGTTGCGCGTGCCCATCTCCGCCGGGAGGAGGCCGGGGCCTTCAAGTCGGGCTGGGCACGGCGACGCCAACGGACCTCCTGCCCTCCCGCCCCGCGACCCCCTTTCGAGAGTGCACGCCTCTCCCTCCTCCTCCTCCTCCTCCTCCTCCTCCTCCTCCTCCTCCTCCTCCTCCTCCTCCTCCTCCTCTTCCTCCTCCTCCTCCTCCTCCTCCTCCTCCTCCCTCTTCTTCCTCCTCCTCCTCCTCCTCCGCCTCTGGGCTGGCTGGGCTGGGCTGGCTGGATGGTCGACTCTGCTGGCTGGGCTGCTGTCGAACGCCCTCTGGGCCCCGCAACTCCCTGCATGCTGAGGCTGCGCCCGCAGCCTCAGCATGCCACCCAGCTGGGAGGACCTCCATCTATCCATCCATCTTCCTTCTCCCTCCTCCTCTCTCCTCCTCTCTCCTCCCTCCTCTCTCATCCTCTCTCTCTCCTCCTCTCCTCCTCTCCTCTCCTCTCCTCTCTCTCTCTCTCTCCTCCTCTCTCTCCTCCTCTCTCCTCCTCCTCTCTCTCTCTCTCTCCTCCTCTCTCCTCCTCTCTCCTCCTCCTCTCCTCTTTCCTTTCTTCTCCTCTCTCCTCCCTTCTCCAGTGTAGCCTTAGTGTCGAATATCATGCTTCGCAATGATATTGCATTGCGCGTGACTCCTGCAGCCACTGTCTGTTACAGGCAATCCATGCCTCTCATTGGGTTATACGGTCGCAAGGACCACCTATCTCCTACCTTCTCTTCTGCCTTCCCTCTTTTCTACTCGTCGTTCGTTTTGCCTCCTTCCCCCGCACTTATCCTCCTCTTCCTCTTCCGCCTCCTCTTGATGTCCTCTGCCTCTTCCTACTCCTCCTCCTCCTCATCATCATCATACATCTTCCTTCTTAGCCTAATCCTCCTCGCGTTCCTCCTCGTGTTCTCTCCTCGGCCCTTCACTGGCTGCTCATGCTTGGCTCGCGTTGCTGCTCCTGTTCCTGCCCCCGCCCCTTCTCCTCACTTGTCCTCCTCGCTCCTCCCTCCCTCCGTTTGGCCAAGGCCTCTGTCGGGCCACTCCTGTCCCTTGCTTGCATGTGTCTGACTCTGTTTTCGCTTGCGTCGCTGGATGCCTTGTTTGCAGCGGACCCCAGCCAGTGCCGCTGATCCGGGGCGATCCCGACGCTGTCGAAGACTTCGGCGACAAAGGCGACGACGACGAACGACGAATGTCCACGGAATATCGGCGACGAGCTGTGAGGAGGACCGACGACAACGACGACAACGACGGACGACGACGCTGGACGATTCACGGCGAGCGATGGAAGACGACCGACGACCAGCGACGACGACGACGACATGTCGACGATGACGATGTGGAACGACGAACGATGCGGGCTGGGGCCCGGGTCAGGGTCGGGGCCGGGGCCGGGGCCAGGGCCGGGACCGCTGCCGCGGCCAGAGCCAGGGCCAGGGCCGCGGCCAGCCTGCATGGGCCTGTTCCGGGCCCCGCCGGCCGGGCTGAGCCCGCCGGCCGGGGCCGAGGCCGGAGGTATGCGGCCGGGGCTGGTGCTGGGCCCGGAGTCGGGGACGGGGCCGCGGCCGGGGCCGCCCATCACCTCGAGGATGCGCTCCAAAGAGGCTCCCCGACAGGGACAAATGTATGGTTTCACCAGTGTGTTCCACAGTAGTTGTGCTCTTCCCACATCTCCCTCTATAGAAGGGTAGACCGATCTTGAAGACCGATCCAGACATCCCATCGATATCACCAGTAAAAGTTTCTTAGACCCCGAACCTTATATGATCCCCAGGGGATTATTCTCACCAGCGCGGGGTTAGGGGGGCTGCGCTGCCTCTCTGCGCCAGGCTCGACCAGTCGGCCGCCGTGGGTGGCCTCTCCCTTCGTCCTTCTTTGTCGCCGTCGCTCTCTGAGCCCGTCTTGTTGTTTTGCATGTTGTTTTGAGGTGGCTCTCTTGGGCTGTCCTCTGGGGTCGACGGTAGCGTTTTTGCCGCTGATGAGCCGAGAGCTGTGGAGCGCGACTCTCGGTTAGCCCCTTCACCTGCCCTGCTACGCTGACGTCTTTGATTTGAAACAGAGGCCAGCGATGACGGTGCTACCTTGACCGTATGTATTGCCTTATTCGTGCCGCCTCAATGGCCAGATCTACAGTCAACCCGCATGGTAAGGATGGGCAACTCTCCCAAGGGTGCCCTTGCATCCTTACCTCCATGGTCCAGCCTTGGCCACTTTCGTTGGCCGCGCCCCGCTCGAAAAGCTTGGAAATGGTCGTCCTAGGCCCTTACCTCCTTACCGCGCATCCTTCTGATACGGGCCTGCTGTAAACTCCGTTATTCAAATCCCTCCGCCTTCCCATCCTGCCGCTTCCAGCGCCCGCGCTGCCAGGCGCTATGTGACGTCGTGGACAGGGCGGCCGAGAAACAGGACCAGATGCTGCAGGACAGCCGCAAGGATCCCGGGCGCAGCGCCCCCAACCTTTTGGGTGTCGGCAGCGTCAAAGGGTGGGGCGAGGATTATAATGTAAGTCGGGCATGTCCCTCTACAGGAGGAATATTCAAGAATGGTTGAAGAATAGTCTGGGTACGACTGTTCGTGCTCTTTTGATTGTTTTGCTTATTGTCTTGACAGGTTGCAAGTTTCTTCCAAAACCCGCCTGTAGGAGGACATGCCCGACCGAAGACTACAGCCAACACGCTGAAACAAGGATCCCGTTCGGCTCAGGAGCGTCTCTGGTGTGCTTCAGGAGGGAAAAACACAGACACAATGAATCGTCGATACCCCCGAACATATGAGACAAATATATGAGAACTGGAGGGGAAGCTAGAAACCCAGAAAATATAGGGGGGATATGGGGAATCTGGTTGTTCGTGTCTATTGGAGAGGCCTCACGGCTGGTACCGCCGACCCTGATCGAAGGGGCTAGGAGGGGGAGGAGGAAGCGAAGGAGGAGGAGGAGGAGGAGGAGGAGGAAGAGGAGGAGGACGAAGAGGAGGAGGACAGGGACGAGCACGAGGACGAGGAGGAGTCTGTGCCTATCTATTAGCGTTTTCCAGTTCCCCTTCAGTTCCGGCCGCTCCCTGGGCCCAGGTCGGGGAGCGTAGCACCTTTGCCCGAGGCTCGCCGTGGCCCGAGAGGCCCCTTCGCTCCTAGTTCGGCGTTCCCTGTGTCGGGGAAGCGTAGGAGTAGGTCGGGCCTGTCCCTCTACAAGGGGGAGGATTCGAAAACAGTCAAGAAATAGCCTGGGGGCGATTTTTTGACTATTTTCGGGCATCTTTTGAATAGTTGTTTGAGTATGTTTTATTTGTCGTCTAACATCCCCCTGTAGGGGGACAGGCCCGACCTAAGCGTAAGACTTGAGTGCGCTGGGACTCGGGTTTGCCGACGCTTTTTGGCGAGCGAGGCCGCGCTCTTGTGGGCTTCCTGGGCCGTCGTGGGGCGATTTGGGGGCCTCTGTGGCCGCGCTGTGGCGTCGAAGGCCCGAGAAGGCGAGAGCCACCAGATCCGTCAAAAAAACCAGGACGGTAATGATTGAGGCGTCTCGGGGCACTCGTGGAGGCCTTCTTGGAGCCCCCTTCGGGCATCTTGGGCCGTCAGTGGATTATCCTGGGCGTCTTGGAGCGATTGTGGGCGGCCTTGGAGGCTTCTTGCTCCTTCTTGGGCGCAAATCTCAAGTCGTCCTGTCGCTTCCGCGCGCGACTGCTTGGGGTCCTCTTGGCCAGTATTGAGGCCCTCGGGCCTCTGGAAAAGTCACGCGGGAAAACCTGAACGCACGCCAGAGCGCAGGGGATCGATCTGAGATGTTGGGCTCCCTGCCCAGAGTGAGAATGTTGTCACATTGAATACAGAGTACAGAGAACTCTACTAACCTTGGGAATATTCCACTTCGTGCCTCGAGGTATGCTGGAGGATATGTGTGGAGAGATCGATCGAGAGAATGAGAGAGAGAGAGGCAAAGACAGAGAGAGAGAGAGGCAGAGAGGGAAGAGCATGGGAAACATCAGATGAGTACATACATAAGTGTATACTACAGAATTGTATTTACATATGCTGTACGATGTGCGTACACATACATTATATATACATACGTATACAAGACTGCAGTGGCGATTCGCGCCATGCACCTTGGTCCTTGAAGATTGGTATACAGGCGGGAATGGCAGGAAGGTCAAGCGGACAATTTAGCGAATCATTCCTTGCTGCCTTTTCTGGCATCGCCATTATAATAATGTTGTTCGTTATCCTTCCTCCATGCTTGCTGTTCCTCATTCTCGCCATACCCTGGGCATTCTCCTCATCCTCTGCTCTTTTTGCGGAGGCTCCTCCTTGGAGAGCCTCTGCGGACCTCACCAAAGTTCTCAGGCTTTCTTAAAGCCGTCGGGAGGCCTCCTGGGCGTGTTCTAGGGGCCTCTGGGGCTTCCTAAAGCCAACCTGCCTCTAACCGCGGTCTCCCTGAACGCCCCGGTCACGATTTGGAATGCTTCGGAGGGTGTTTTGGGGCCATTTTGGGCCGCCATGGGGCTCTCTTAATGCCACTTTGGATCCCTGTTGAGCCGTTTTGGGGTTCTCTTGGACTGCCCAGCAACCCTTTCGGGTGGTTGTGGGGCGATTTTGGAGCCTCCCAGGCGACTTCGGACGCCCAGAAGACCGCTGTCTTGGAGCGTCGGGAAGCCGAAAAGAGGAAAACCCCCAATCCACCAAAAACCTACATGAAATCAATTATGTTTCCCTCTTGGGGCCTTCTTGGGGGTGCTCTTGGAGGCCTCTTGGTACGTTTTGGAGCGATCTTTCGGGGTATGACGGCTTCTTGGAGCGCTCTTGTGCTGTCTTGGGGTTCTCTGGGACGTCTCCGATGACCCCCCTGATCGCCCTAGGTGTGCTGCGAAGGCTTGGCAAAACGCCCTGCGAGGCCCTGGGGGCAGCTTCGAGGCCCGTCCGAAGGGTCCCAACGCCCTAGATCCCTGGAGTCCGGTTTTTGGGGGGGGGTCCCCCCGCCCATGCTTTTAAAAATATAGGAAAAGGAATACATACACATAGATATGTGTGTATCGCCCCCTTGGCCAAAGTGGAAGCACACGTTTCCCACACCTCCCTGGTACGTACCCTTTTTTGGCCCCAGGGGCCGGCATGCCCTTTCCAAAGCTCCAGTGGGGGTCGTCTCAGCCCCGAGAGGAATGATGACAGCTGACCGGCTCAAGCCAGCACCAGCAGTCCCCCGAGACTGCCAAGACCTGCAGAAGACGAGTCTATAGTGCTCGAAGGTTTGGCCCACGACGGCCGCAAGACAGCCCAAAGCCCCCAAAGACACCCCAACAGAGCCCTATACTCAAGTCATTTTTGCTCAAGCCGTTGTGACTCTCAGGGCAGAGAAAGGCAAGGAAGGCAAAAGGAGCGACCGCGCTTCCTTCCGCATCGCACCGACCTGATGGGCTGCAGCATCATTAAAGAGAACTCTTTTGAAGCGTCTGTCACTGTTTCTGCTGGACAGCATAGCTCGCATTGCTGCTTTGCAGTTCTCCTCAAAGCCGACGTCTTCCGGCCCAAGTTTGCGGTTCTTGGGTGCACGTATACAGTCACACCTTGTTCTGGCGAGGCTTTGTACGACAAGTATGGCGTGGGCACAAAGTTTGCCGGGACGGCTGCGCTGGGCATCCCAGAGGTGTTGATCATCACGAAGGCGACCTACCCTTGTGCGGTCACGATCAACTATTGTGGCAACGTCGACTATGAGTACACCATTGAGGCCGTGAGTGCGGACAGCGCCCGTGTGAGTCTCTCGGTGAAGGGGCCCAGGGTGAAATACCGGAAACAGGCGACCGAGATGCAGCTCGAGGTCATGAAGTCTTGGATCGAAGCGAACGTCGAGGAAATCCTCGCGAGCACACCGGTTCAAGGCTGATCAAACCCGGTCAAGCTCCCCCATGATGGCCGCTCGCCCAGTCAAGCTTCTCTACGGTTGATCTCCCGGTAAGTTCTGCCCGCCCCCGCTAGCGTGAGTTGAGGTCCTGGTGAGCTTACGACATGCCATCGGCCTGGCAGCTCCTCCTCCACCTCCTCATCATCCTCATTCCCGAAGCTCGCTCCCTCCCTCCCCCTATACAGCAACAGGCAGTGGGCTGGCCGGGGACTCCCCGCTCATCTCGAGTGGGACTCCCTCTGTTATCTCTTCCAAAATGGTTGTCCCCTGAGCGCGAGGGTCAGCCGCGGAGCTGCCCCGTCCTCCCTCGCTGCCGTTGCGGTTTGCATGTCATGTCCCTCTCCTCCGCACCATGGCTGTGCATTTTCTGCAGATTACACCTCCTCCAGTTCGGCACGCGGCAGCTGGTAGATGGAGGAGGGATGCGGCGGCGGTGGATCCGTTGGACCACTGCTACACACGAGGCACCCCAAGAGAGCCCTATAAGCACCCCCCGGAGGGCTTACTGAGGCAATCACAATGGATTTTCAATGGTTTTAGTGTTCGCGTTCTTTTCGCGCTTCCTTCGAGCTTCCGACACCCCCAGACGGCTAACGGACTTCCCCGATCGCCCCAAGACGGTCCAAGAGTCTTATGAGGGCCCCAAGCCGGCCCAAGATGGCCCCAAGAGGGCTTAAGAGGCTCCCAAAACGGTTCAAGAAGGCCCCAAGAGACCCGCAAGGGGACGCCAAGAGGGTCCCAAGAGTTGCCCAAGAGGGATCGTGAGGAATTGTCCTGACTGCTAAGGCTCCCAGCATCCAATACATTCTTGGAGGCCCCCAAAACGCCTCCAACAGCCCTCGAGAGGCCCCCCAGGAGGCAAGGAGGGCTTTCCCGTGACTCGATGTTGGGCCCTGCTCTGGTCTTCTCAAGGCCTTCCTGGCGGCCTCCGACGGGGCCCTTCTAGATCCGTGGCCCCTCACACATGCCCCTTCCTCCAGACGGGATCTCGCTAGAGTCAAGTCGGGCCTGTCCCTCTACAGGGGAGACATTCAAAAATAGTCAAAAAATAGTCGGGGGACTATTTCTTGTGTCCGGCAGCATCTAGTTGCCACTCAAGCCACCGCTTTGAGGCTGCTGCGTGGGTCAACTCCCCCAGCATGTCTGCACTGCGGTCCACGAGAGCCGCCGCAGGTTGCTGGCGCCCAGCTGTGAGGCGGTCATCTCATGGTCGTGCCCCCCCCAAACAAATTGTCAATTTTGGAGTATTTGTTAAATATTTTCCCCACATCCAAAGGCTCCAAAATCGCCCCACAGCCATCCGAGAAGGCTTCCAGGCAGTCCAAGAGAGCCCCAAAACGGCACACCAGGGGTCCAAAAAGGCCCTAAGAGAGCCCCATGGCGGCCCAAGATGGCCCCAAGACGCCCTCCGAAGCATTCCAAATCGTGACCGGGGCGTTCAGGGAGACCGCGGTTAGAGGCAGGTTGGCCTTCGGAAGCCCCAGAGGCCCCCAGAACACGCCCAGGAGGCCTCCAGAAGGCTTTGAAAAAGCTTGAG